GGAAGCCACACCGGGTACAGCGGATGCAGTATACCACATTGGCAGATGTGCAGGTGAACATCTGCTTGATGTGGAAAGTCTTCTTGGGGCCTGGGATGGGGATGAGGGAGGAGGTAAGGGGGCAGGTGTAGCACTTCCTGCGGTTACAGGGAAAAGTGCCGGGTGTGGTGGAGCTGGAGGGGAGTGTGGAGCGGACAAGGGAGTCACGGAGAGAGTTGTCCCTCCGGAAAGCAGATAAGGGTGGGGAGGGAAAGATGTCTTTGGTGGTGGGGTCGGATTGCAGATGGCGGAAGTGTCGGAGGATGATGCGTTGGATCCGGAGGTTGGTGGGGTGGTACGTGAGGACGAGGGGGATTCTTTTTTGGTTCTTATTGCGTGGACGGGGTGTGAGGGATGAGGTGCGGGAGATGTGGGAGACACGGTTGAGGGCGTTCTCGACCACCAAGGAGGGGAAGTTACGGTCCTTGAAAAACGAGGACAACTGAGATGTACGGGAGTGGAATGCCTCATCCTGGGAGCAGATGCGGCGGAGGCGAAGGAATTGGGAATAGGGGATAGCATTTTTGCAGGAAGGTGGGTGGGAGGAGGAGTATTCTAGGTAGCTGTGGGAGTCGGTGGGCTTGAAATGAATATCGGTTTCTAGGTGGTTGCCTGATATGGAGACAGAGAGGTCCAGGAAGGGGAGAGAGGTGTTAGAGATGGTCCAGGTAAACTTAAGGTTGGGGTGGAAGGTGTTAGTGAAGTGTATGAACTGTTCGAGCTCCTCGTGGGAGCACGAGGCGGCACCGATACAGTCATCAATGTAACGGAGGAAGAGGTGGGGTTTAGGGCCGGTGTAGGTACGGAAGAGGGATTGTTCCACGTAACCTACAAAGAGGCAGGCGTAGCTTGGGCCCATGCGGGTACCCATGGCTACCCCCTTTGTCTGTACTTGGCTAAGTCAATATTTCTACATGGGAAATATCATTTCTGCTTTACTGAACCACAAAATATAAATGGCTAAATGGAATACATTCTGATTTTCTTTTGGAACTTATAGTGCTGTCAAAAATAGGTCAGTGAGGGGAAGTATTTGAGGCAGAGTGATCACTTCCTGCTCAGTTAAAAACATAACGTAGGAAGAAACAAGGTTACAACCAAGGAAGTCAAGCTCCCTATAAAAGAAAGTATCTGAAGTGATTGCACCCATTAGTCAGTGAACAAGCACACTTGTGCACGAACCAAAAAGAATCAGAGTATCCAAAAGACCAATAAGTTAATTTTCATTAAACAATAATCAGAAGTTGCTGAAGAAGCTCAGCAGGTCTGGCAGCATTGGTGGAGAAAAAAAAAACAGAATTAACGTTTTGATTCCAGTGACAATTCTTCATAAACCTGCTCCAGGAATAAACTAAATCTGTGGTTCAAAATTGTCACAGGAAAAAGGCCACCTCATATCACGAAATATATACATGTTGAATTTTCAGGCATAATTATTTCATACATTTGGCATTATTTTATCAACGTCACGTCATTTTGATGTCACATCCAGGTTTCTTTATTTCTCATCCTACCTGCCTAATCCTTTCCCACTCCGAGGCACTGTAGCTCTGCAATTTATTCGATTTCAGACTCCACAAATCACAAACTAATTTTATCACTACTCAACCTCCCAGTTATACACAGCAACTGCCAAATTTAACTGCACTCAAAATTTTTTTTTTTTTTTTTTTGAAAAGTCAGCTGTCAAAGTTGTCCAACTTAAAACAAAATACAGACAAGGGCACAGGGCTGTTAAAACAAAGTCAATTTGATCAAAACACTCTCACTGAAACAAAGTTTCCTAAAACCAATGATAGTCTCAGCTGTATATGGACCTTAGGCTTTGTATCAAGTATGTTTCATTCACAAATGAAATACTGGTGATAGATAAGTCTATCAACATTTGTGAAAGGAAAACACAAGCTTGTTTCAGACACAACCGTTTATCATAAACGTCAACGTATTTTATATTCTTTTCACAAGTGCAAATCATTCCCAGCATTTTCTGATTTCACTTCATATTAGTTTCTTTTCTCTCATTGTTTGAGCAATAAGATCAAATGAACAGTCATGTGGCACTAAATTTCTAACAGTAACAAGAATTTCTTGCTAAATCCAGAACCTAGCATTTTTATCTTAGGGAGTACAATCACAGTCCTATAGCAGTACAAAAATGTCATTGCATTATATCTTGTCTATTTATCTGGATAGATAGACGTTAAAAACTTAAACATCGCAAAATGTTTATCACAAGATTTTTAACTCAAGTGCACTGATTCATAATCACCCAACATAAGCACTTGAAAACTTATTGCTTAAGAATTTGCAAGTTACTCAAAATACATGACAAGAAGTATTACATTGTACGTTTTAGATCACCTGTACAAAACAAAAGGAGGGTTGCCGATAACTTAAATTTGAATAATATTTCTCGGGGTTGAGGAGATCACTTTGATCTTAAAAGAAACATTAGACTGAGCAGACCAAGGCCAGATGGGTGCAGAAGGCCTTAGCTCATCATTAAAGGGATGGGAAAGAAATGCTTAACTACACTTCAGTGTATACATGGAGGGAGGGGTCTTCACCAATGCTTCAATGTTTATGAACCCTTTGAGAAGCAAACATAAATAGGATCATAAATATTATAAAGGTTTTGTGTAAAATACTTTCAAGATAAAACTACATCATTCTGTTGTGACTACATGCTTATATTGTACTATCCAGACACTCCATACAAGTAGTTTTGAGGAAACCACAATTTTATCCAACAATTAACTACAGACTGCTTTGAAAATATAGCTATGCCTTCACAAATAGTAAGATTAAGTCACTCGGACAATGGAACTAAACTAAACAAACAGGGTCTATTATTGCGAATTAAATCAAACTGGTAATGCTACAGATTTGATTATCTGCTCTTAATTCAATGTTTTGGTTTGAAAACATCATAACTGTTGTATGTCATTGAGTACACCTGTGCTGAATTATAAAATTATGTTGCACAAAAGTCAGCAATTCAACAACTTTGCAGTCCTTTGAGCTGCAACTAAACTGTATAAATTCAATTTCTTTACAATAAACTGCAGTTCAAAATGAAGTCAGATTTTCTTGAACTTTGCATTCATCTACCACTCAGGTTTTTCATAAATTACTGAATTACACAGGATATAAAGCACAGAAACAATTCATTCGGCCCAACTGATCAATGACAGTGTTTATGCTCTACGAGAACTCTTCCCAGATTTAAATCTACCATTGTAACCTTCTATTCCCATCTTGCTCATATACTTGTCTACCTTCCCCTTAAGAATCAATACTATTCACTTCACTGTGGTTCCAAGTTCATGTCCTTACCATTCCTTGGGTAAAAAAAATCTCTACTGAATTACCTATTGGATTTCTCAATTGTCTTAATTACTGATGACCTTTAGTCATTCTCCTGACCATAATAACAATATTGCACAGAAAACAAAAATTGAAACAGACTATGAAAGGATGTTTGAAAGATGGCAACACATTTTTAAATTTTCAATTTTAGATTTTGTACATTTCATAAAGGATTGCCTTTAGCTGAGGTTTCTAATAACCAGAGATGATCTAAATCAGTAAAATGATATAAATTAGCCCAAAGTGTATCCTAAAACTTCATAGTTTAAGATATGGTATAATATTCAATAAACAAACAATAACACTTGGCTCCAAGGAGCTTAGTCTACGTTTGAAAAATCAGAAAGTAAAATGGGTTTATTGGGTAACAATGAATTGAACTGAAATCCATTACTGAACTCAGCAGTGCTACTAAAAGGTACTGCTATAATAGGGAACCAAGATACTAATTTATTGCTGCACAAACATTACTTCCAGTTAACAACAATAATTATAGCACAAAGAAATCTCAGGTTTCACATGTAGACAAATGTCATCCTTATTTGTAAACTTTTTCCAGCGAAGTCCTGGAACTGCATGAATTAAGCATGTACCTATTTAAAGCTGATCCACTTCTTAATCAAGTCAATTTTAACTCATTAGTAAGAGACAGTAAAATTGAACTGTACATCTGGACACTGGGTACATAAATAAATGCACCCTACCAATTACAAAGCAGTGATATACCAATAATAGGGCAAGTTATGAATACATTTATCATTTATACGTGTATACTTTTGTGATATGCTCATTACGACGTACATACGCTCTACATCGACAATTGTGAACATATCTGAGCATATTTAAACATACAGAATGCTTATGCTAATTATGTCCACATTTGAAAACGTGCACAAATTCGTGTGTGTAACAATTTTATGACACATGTACCAATACATTTTGTTTCCAGAACAGAGCACTATGACAGAGAAAACACGCTATTTCTGGGCCATTTTAAACAGTAAGAACGCAGGGGGCAGAGTAAGAGAAACAAAAAAAAAGGCAGAGGGAGGCTGGCGGTTCCGGGTATGTGGGAAGAGAAACAGAACTGGTCTGTGAAGGCAAATCGGAGAAGAGAATGGAAATAAAGGGTTCGGTGGGTCATCGTATTGCATATTTAATCCCCAAATCGCACAATATCCCCACTCTCCTTCCGAAGAACAGCTTCTGGCCCAGGCTCCGGGCAAAAGGACAGGCCGGCTTCCGGCCCATCATGCTTATAATTCGCCGGTGAACAAGCCCAATGTTTCCATCACAAGAGCCATCATCGCCCGGCTGGGCCTGTCCCAACCCAGCCTGACCCAGGGCCTTGACCTCTTCCCCCCAACCCCCCCCCCCCCCCCAACAAAACACCCCGATTCTTATTGCCCTCAGTGCCCTCCCCACCCCACCCACTCATTCCTCCCTCCACCCACCCAGCCACCCGCTCCCGGGGCTTCTAACTGGCCTTTCATTCTTCCCACCGCTGCTGGCGGAATCCAGGCGGGAGGTGAGCCGGTTCGGGGCCTCCTCCTTCTCCCCGTTACCCGAGGGGAACCCCCATCCTGACTCACCGTTTAACCGGGACACCTGCAGCACGGCGCCCGAAGTGCCGTCGATGACTTTGACGGTGGAGCGATTGGTGACGGCCAGGATGGCGTTGAGGGACGGGTGGTAGGCCAGGCTGCGCAGGCCTTCCTCGCAGCTCAAGCAGCCGTCGCGGGTGAGGAGCCAGTCCGAGTCGGACTGGGCCGCCGCTCCTGCCGCTGCCGCTGCCGCCGCCATATTGGAAGCAGCTGTGAGACAGGAAGGAGCCGCCACCGCCGCCAACTTTCACCCCGGAGCCGCTCGTCACAAGGAGCCTGGGCAACCGCACAGGAAGCGACGGCCCCCCAACGTCACCCAGGGAGGAGGCCCTTCGCAGCGAGGGACAGCCTGACAGGCAGGCAGGGTTAATGGACCCTGTGAGGAGGTAACGTGAGCGAGGGGGAATGGGGTAGGAGAGGAGAGGGAACTGAGAGGAGAGAGAGTGTGTGTGAGTGTGCGCAGGGGAACTACCCGGTGGCGAGGAGGTTGTGGGGGGTGGTGTAAGGAGATGTGGAAAATGGAAGGAGGGGGAGGGTACAGAGGAATGGAATGGGATGGGTACTGAGGGAGTGTGCTGGGGGAAAGGAGAGAGAGTGGAGGAGGAGGGTGCCGGAGGATGGGGGAATGAGGGTGGGGG